GGCGACGCAATGGCGGCGCTTCCGGTGCGCGGCGGAAGCGCGCTCGCTCGGCGCCTGCAACTACAAGTCCCAGCAGGCAGCGCGCCGGGGAGAGGTGGGGGGGCCAAAGGGGCCTCGTTCCCGCGCGCGCCTCTGGCCGTTTCTCGCGCGGCGCGGCGGTTGCTCGCCACGACGGCGGTGGCGTCGTGACGGCCGTGGGCTGTGGGCGCGGCTGGCTTCCCCCGCGTCTTTGAAGGCGGCTCCTGCTGCGGCCCGGACCCTCGCTTTCCTTCGGCTCTGCCCCTGGGGGGCGCCTCTCTTCGGGGGTCGATGGTTCTCCTCCTCCGGCGACCGCGGCCGACGCCACCGCGATGGACGCCGAGACCGCGGACGGACGGACGGACGGACTGACGGACGGACGCTGAGACCCACGTCGAGTCTGAGCCGCGCTGGGCCTGCTGGCGTTCTTCTTCCTTTTTTAAAATCCTCACCGAGGACATGTGTATTGTTTTTACGGAGAGAAGAGACAAAATGCAGAGGAGGGGGGGCCTCAAGCTGCTCCCCCTGCCCCGGGGCCGGGGGGACCTCAAAGTCACGCCCCCCGCCCGGTGTGACAGAGAAACGTGCCCCCCCCACCCCCCCGCCTCCCACGGATGTGTCTGACCTGGGGGTTGAACCCGCCACCTGGATACGTGCCTGAGGGGAATGGAACCGAAAAGCTTGGGTGCAGGGGAAGGACGCCCCAAGCAATGCGGACACCCCACCCCACCCCTTCCGGGGCTCGGCCTCCGCTCCTCGGGGACCTGGAGAACGGCCTGAGGACCCGCCAGGGAAGAAAAAGAGGAAGAGGACCCTGATGGGGGAGCCCCAGTTCCCGCAGCCCCTGCGTCTGGCCGAGGCCGAAAGGCAGGGCACCGGGACAGTGACCCTCGTGACCTTCCGGAAGGAGCTGGTGGCGCCTCGCTGAGGATGGAGGCAGGTGACCGGAAGCGGGTCGTTATCTGTGGCTCCCTCCCCATTGCCCCTGAGGAGGACAGGGGCGAAGACTAGGGATCCTGGCAGTGACTGAGCCAAGTCTTTTTTTTTTTTTTTCTCTCTTTACATTCTCACCCCTTTTACTAGAGGCCCTTTTGCACAATATTCGTGCAAGAATAGGTCCTCGCTTCTGTTGGAGCACCAGTCCAGTGGCTCTCTCCCCTGCCCGCCTTCCCCCCCGCCCCACCCCCTCATAGCAGGCTTCATGCTGCTCCTCGCCTGCAATGCAAATTAACCTCCACCTTTGTTGGGTCGACTTGCATACTCACTCTGATTGGCTGTGGGTGTGGTGGAGTGATGGTTAATTTGCATGTTTCTCTTTTATTAGGTGGGGTTGTTTATAAGGAGCTGGGAGTGGGGAGGAGGAGAGAGCAACATCGATGTGAGAAGCACCCATCTGTTGCCTCCTTGTAGGCACCCCGACCAGGGATGGAACCCTGCCACCTTGTTGGTTTACTGGATGACACTCCAACCCACGGAGCCACCACACCTGGGCCGAGACCAAGTCCTGGCTGATGGGAGCCTGTTGCTTCAGAGGTGGTCGGTATGGCCGTCGCTGACCTATATTCCGTCGCTGCACTGTGTGTAGGACACAGACCCACCGCCCGCCCTGGCTCTACAAGGACATCTTCCCAGGCAGCCGATTGGTGGAAACCACTCCGGACCTCCTTCATCGCTAAGTCTTCCTGAGCTCCTGGATTGTCCTGTGTCTGGGACTTACCTGGAACTCACTTGTGACTTGCTACCATGACCCTGCAACTTGTTTACTTCAGAAAGTCTTTTTAAAAAAAAAAATTTTTTTTCTATCGATTCAGAGAGGGAAAGGGGTGATACCACACCCCTCACCGAGCCTGCCAGAAGGTCAGTGGAACAGTGGTGCCGAAGGGCCTGGGCATGGGGGCTCCTGGCCTGGTGTGGTGGGACAGTGCCCCCTTCCTGTAGAGGGTGGAAGGTTGGCTGGGAGCAGGGAGATGGGGTCTCCAGGCGCCTGGGCTGAGAAGGTGGTCTTGGCCAGGCTAAGTGTGCCTCTAGCCAGGGGAGGCCCCAGGGTGAACTGGGAGTGGGTGGTTCTCTGGGTGCTAAGGAGGTCGGTGGCAAGCTTGCCGAGGGCTGAGCTAAAGTAAATGGTCCTTGGGCTGGTCTGAGGGCCCTTGGGAGGGGGTGGTGCTGAACTGGAGGGCCGGGGCACATTGTGAATTTGGGACCCCGTTCCCACCGAAACAGCCCGGAATGCAGGTCTATCTGATCGTCCAGCCATAGTTGAGAGAAGAACCTGGGGAATCACCTTGTGCTTTGAGCCCTGGGTGGTCACTGCCCGTCCCTCCCAGCTTCCCTTGCCCAGCATGCTGGCCTCACACAGGCTGTGGTGTTTGCACAAGAATGTGGTTTCGTTCAGCCATGGAAGGGGGAGAATGAGAAGAGGGGCTGGAGTTGGTGCCCCGAGCACAAACTTAGTGGAAGGAACTGTGAGAAACTCTTGAGGGACCACACACCCAAGGGCATACCTGACTGCAGGGGAACAGCAAAGGTGCCCTAGGAGAGGCCTCTCACACTGGGCATCCACTCCCATCCTTGGGTTTTGCCATGTCTCATACTCTCCATTTTATTTGCTTAATAATCTAAATCCACTCGTTAAAACTCAAAACTCCATTTGACCTAGGAACCCCACTTCTAGCACTATATTCTATGGGCGTAAGTGTTATTTGCAATAGCCAAGCTCTGGAAATAGCGCAGTGCCCATCAGTAGACGAGTGGATAAAAAAAAAAAAATTGGCATATTTACACAATGGAATACTACATGGCTGTTAAAACAAAAAACTCGTCCCTTGGCAATAGCAGGGATTGATCTGGAGATGATTATGCTAATAATTTTTCAGTCAGAGAAAGAACTTATATGTGGAACTTAAACAAAATAGGTCCAGAGACATGGATGCAAGGAACGGATCTGAAAGAAGGGGTCTTGGAGGGGCTTGGAAGAGACTAGCTAAAGAACTTATATACATACATACATTTAGCCCATGGACACAGGCTGCAGTGTGGCAAAGGGTGGGGCTGGGTGGCATGGGAAAATGGGGACATCTGTAATAGTGTCAATAATAAAAACCTTCAAAATGACTTTTAAAGGTGTCTTTCAGTTATTCACTTGTCAAAATGAGTTAAATTCAGTTGAAACAAAGTTTTAGCCAGATTATGTTGCCTCTGAAAACCTGTTCTTTTTTCAGAGTGGGAGGGAATAGGAGAGAGAGAGAAACATGGATCTGAGAGAGACAAATCAATTGGTTGCCTCCTGCACGTGCTCTGAGCAGGGCCAGGGATGGAGCCTGCAACCTAGGTGTGTGCGCTTGACCAGAATCAAACCCGGGACCCTTCTGCAGGCTGACGCTCTAGCCACTGAGCCATACAGGCTAGGGCACGAAAACTTTTTTTCTTCAAAAAGTTTATTTGCCAAGTATGAGAGGCTTAAAAAACAGCACCAAACCAAGACCTTGATATTGGAAATCTGCTGGAAAACTATGAAGGAAGCATTTCTTGCCTGGAGGGCAGGGGGTGTTAACGGCAGATGACTTAGTTGCTCATCTAGACTGTTCCCGGGTGATTGTAGAGTTAAACCAGGGGGTGATCTTTCTGTGGACCCTGAGAGGAGGTGCTGTCATGGGATTCCAGGTCTGGCCATCCTGGGATGGCCATCCTGGGAGGGGACATGCTTGTGGTTGATGGATCCGGCTGTTGATCGAGAGGCAGATGAGAGACAAGCCTGTTTGTTGTTCCACTGATTGATGCCGGGAATGGCTCCCTCCCCCCAGGACGTCTCCGACTCACATCGTGGGAGGGCGGCAGCACCCGTGTCAATGTCACTTCAACCGGGGAGTTCCCGTGGCTCCGAGCCGACACGCCAGGCCCTTCGCCTGAAGAGGCTGTGCAGGCAGCCTCAACCACCATCTGCTGAACATTCATCACTTTTTTAAAAATATATATATATTTTTATAGATTTTTTACAGAGAGGGAGAGAGAGAGAGAGCTAGAGACGTCAATGACAGAGAAACACCGACCAGCTGCCTCCTGCACACCTCCCACCGGGGATGTGCCAGCAACCAACGTACACGCCCTTGACCGGAATCGAACCTGGGTCCTTTCAGTCCGCAGGCCGACGCTCTGTCCACTGAGCCACACTGGTTTTGGCTGAACGTTCATTACCTCTGACCCGGAGGTTCAGAAAATGTTTGTGCAGAACCGAGGTGGAAGTCATGGAGGAGGAGATGGAATGGGCTGCAGGTCACAGGCTGTGACCTGGAGAAGTTCTTAAATACATTTTGTATTGATTTTAGAGAGGGAGAGGAGATAGAAGCATCCATGATGAGAATCACTGATTGGCTGCTTCCCGCACACCCCCTACTGGGGATCAAATCTGCAACCCAGGCAGGTGCCCTCACCTGGAATCAAACCGTGACCTCCTGGTTCATAGGCTCATGCTCAGCCACTGACCCACCCCGGCTGGACCTGGAGAATTTTAATGTCACCTCACGGGAAACAAGGGCATCAGACACATCCCCCTCCTCCCGGAGTCCCCAGGAAAAGGGGAACGCGAAGTGCACATGCCCAGGAGGCGTCCACGCTGGCCTGGCGTCCAGCTCTCGCGGCCCCTCTGACTCTCTGTCCCCACGCCCTGCCCCTCGCTCTATCTTGATGGGACAAGGGACGCAATGACATTCCTCCAGACTGACTCGGAATCCTGGATGCAGGGACTGCAGCCTTGTTCAGAAGCTGCTGGAATTGGTCTGACAACCTCCATCCTTTTTTTTTTAACACACAATTTTGTTAACCCATCCCACCCATAGGCGTCCTGACTGGGAATCAACCCCCAACCTTTTGAACAGGACAGTGCTCCGCCCAGCGGATCCGCGGCCAGGGCCCCCTTCTTCTGTTAACGTTCCTTATCATCACAACAGCAACGAGGCGTTTAAATAGGCACACACACACACAGGTTCTACCAAGAAATACTTTACTCATCCACCTTCTCTTAGTCCTGAGCCACACATACTTCACTACAAACGCCAGTGCACCCGCTCCATTGCAGGCACTCCTCAGCTTTCACTGACGTCCCCTGTTGTGACCAGATCGAACTGCAGTCCACTGAGTAAAACGCCAGGTGTTTTCCAGCCGTCAGGTTCACCATCGAGGCCGCCCACGCGCCTGCGGGTGTGGGACGGGCCCTGGCGGCCTCTGGTCTGGAGAACGTCCGTTGTCCAGAGCTCTGGGGTCGGGCCGAGTCCCACCACACACTCAGGTTCTGGGGAAGGACGGGCGGAGAGGCAGCGCCTCGTCAGCTGGCTTTAGCACCAGGCTGGGGGTTCCTCTTGCGTTTGTCCCCACTGTGCGTCTTCTGGTGCCCGATGAGGTGGGAGCTCTGGGTGAAGGCCTTCCCGCACCTGTCGCAGGCATAGGGGCGCTCCCCGGTGTGGATCCTCAGGTGCCGGATGAGGTGGGAGCTCTGGCGGAAGGACTTGTTGCAGAACTTGCACAGGTAGGGCCTGGCTCCAGTGTGAGTCCTCAAGTGCTGGGCGATGGCGGAGCGGTCGTTGAAGGTCCGCCCGCACTCGGGACACGTGAAGGGCCTCTCGCCGGTGTGGACCCGCTGGTGCTGCGTGAGGGAGGAGCTCTGGATGAAGGCCTTGCCGCAGTCCTGGCACACGTAGGGCTTCTCCCCCGTGTGGATCTTCCTGTGCACGGAGAAGTAGCGGGGGTTCCGGAACAGTTTGCCGCAGGCGCTGCAGCTGAACAGCTGGCTCCCCTTCTGGACCCGCGTGAAGGTGACCTGCGGGCCGCTCCTGGTGTCCCGGGCTCGGTCCCGGCGCCGGCTCTGCTGCAGCCGCACCTGGACAGTCCGCGCCGCCTTCCTGATCCGCAAGCTGTGCCTGCGCGGGCTGTGCCGGGGCAGCGTTTTCTGGTGGGAGACGTGGCTGGTGGCGAGGCCCCCGTCCGCTGGGGGCTCGGGGCTTTCCTGGGGCTGCTTCTCAGGGAGGGCTTCCTCCTGAGCCGGCCCCGCGAGCGGCAATGCCGAGGCCTCAGCCTCCAGGGCCCCTGCTTGCGGGGCCTCCCCTGAGGCCGAGGGCTCTTCCGCTTTCAGGGTGGGCGGCTCGGCCTCAGCAGCCGCTGGCTGTGGGAGCAGCCGCTCCCCCTCCGCAGTGCTCTCCCAGCCTGGAAGACAGGGGAAATGCCGACGCGGCTGAGAGCAGGACCACTGAGTGTAAAAGCTGGGGGTGTCGTGTTTTTTAATCCTCGCCCGAGGGAGGGGGAACAGAAAGAGGAACAGCTGCCTCCTGTACACATCTGGACCCGGGAGCGAACCCACAACCCAGGTATGTTCCCTGACGGGGAACTGAACCCGGAACCTCCCCCGAGACACCGGCAGGGACAGCGGGATGGTCTCCCCCAGTGCAGACCCGCAAGCTGGGAGGGCCGAGACGAACAGTGAGGCAGCCTAGCGGGCGCCGCCTGGGATGGGGCTGGGAGCCTGCCAGCTCTGCCTCCCCTGCAGCCCGCGGACACTGCAGCGAGGTCCTCGGTGAACCCAGGCTGTCTCGTGCGCACCACACACAGCCACCCTCAGGGCCTCGGGCCAAACATCCGTGTGAGAGAGAAACATGCACTGGCTGCCTCTTGTATGCGCCCTGACCCTGGACTGAACCTGCACCCTCTCGGGGTAACGGACGGTGAGGGCACAGCCGCGCGGGCCGAGCGGGCGGGGCGAGCCTCACCCACACAGACCAGGTGCCGGAACGTCTCCAGCATCACGTCGTGGTACTCGGTCCTCTGCGAGGCGTCCAGCAGCTCCCACTCCTCCCTGTTCAAGTCCAAGGACACGTCCAGGAAGGTCACTGGCTCCTGCGAAGCCACAGGTGTGCTCAGCGGGAGGTTCGGGGGCCTCGGGGGACAGCCTGCTCTGCAGGGCGGGGGCTTACTTCCTCCTCTTCCCCCCCCACCCCCCCCCCCCACCCCCCCCCCCCCCCCCGCTCCGGGGCAGCCTGCTGCCTGGGGGCGTCTCCCTCTCCCTTTGGGATCAATCCTGTCTGAGGGGCCTACGAGGACTCCAGGGGGAGAGGCCTCCCACAGCCCTCTGCCTGGGCCTGGGAGGCAGCACGCCCACAAGAGGCAGAGCCACAGAGTGGGCTGGAGGGTCCCCATCCCCAGGGAGCCCCCAGACACAGCCTTGCCTGAAGCACCCCCAGATCACGCCACAAGAGGGCCAGCACGCTCAGGCAGAGGCAGCTTCCACCAGGAGCAGCCGTGGCCAGGGACACAGACACAGGCTGGGCCCACTCTGAGCCTCAACAACCCGGGTCACCGGAAGCAGTCTTAGCGTCTCAGCGCGCTCTCCGCCCGGCCCACAGCTCCGCAAGGCGGCCCTCACCTCCGGCTGCACCTCCGCGGGGCAGCTCTCCTCCTCCGTCTTCCCCTCCTGCGGGGCCGGGGGCTCCAGGGCGCAGGTGGGGCCCGAGGCGGGCAGAGCTGGGAGAGAGCAGCAGGGGGCCGGGGGTCAGGGCGTCAGCACAGGGCAGCGTGTCTCTGGCTCACCTTCTCAGAGGCCCCGAGTCCTCCGCTCGCCAGTCTCCTCTGAGACCGCCTGGAGGGTGGGTGCCCGGCCCAGGACAGACCGGCTCTCCTGACACCGGTCCTGAGGTGAGCTCGGAGCCTCCTCCAGCTCCGGAAACAGCCTGCTCAGCTTCATAGCCCCGTTCAACCGCACTTTCCCCCCCGAACCCCATCAACGTTCCTCTCTCTAAAGTAAAAATATCCTCAGTGAGGATCAAAAAAACGAAAGAAAAAAAAAGAATTATCTTCCGGGCAACCATCAGGTGCTGCATGGGGCAGGGAGGTGAGCAACGTGTCTGCGCTCCATGGAACTCGGCCCCCAAATGCTGCCACCCCTCCTGGCTGGGCGGCTCAGTGGTTAAAGCGTTTCCCCGATATGCCAAGGTTGTGGGTTCCCTCCCTGGTCAGGGCATGTGTGGTAAGCAGCTAGTTGATGTCTTTCAAAAAGTCAGTGGTGCCGAAACCGGTTTGGCTCAGTGATAGAGCATCGGTCTGCGGACTGAAAGGTCCCGGGTTCGATTCCGGTCAGGGGCATGTACGTTGGTTGCGGGCACATCTCCGGTGGGGGGTGTGCAGGAGGCAACTGGTCGGTGTTTCTCTCTCCCTTCCTCTCTGTAAAAAAATCATTAAAAAAAAAAAGTCAGTGGGAATACGACTTCATGTGAGAATTATAAAGAAATAAATAAGTAAATAAATAAGACCCCAGTGGGTGTGGTTCAGTGGTTAGCATCAACCTATGAACCACAGGGCACATGCTCGGTCGGGCTGTGGGCTCGATCCCCAATGTGGGGCGCACAGGAGGCAGCTGTTAATGATTCTCTCTCATCACTGAGTTTCTCTCTTTCCCTCTCCCTTGTTCTCTGAAATCAATAAAAATATTTTTTTAAAAAGAACCAAAAAATATAAAAATAAATGGGACAACAAACCAATGTTTTTCTTTCTCTAAAAAAGAAAAATCAATAAATTTAAGAAAAGAAAGCAACCGTTAGCCCAAAGCCACACTTGCTGCCAAGGAGGAGTCTGGGAAGTTCTGCTGGTAGACCCGCCCACCTCTGATGTCAGAACATCCTGTGAGGGTGCCCTCTGTGGGCCACTGTCCCACTGCCTTTAAGCTCTGCTCAGCACCAGCTGTCGCCTCAACAGGCCCCACTACCAGCCCCTTTAGTTCCTCTCACTCCACTGTCTCACACACATTCATTCACCACATCCGTCTCACAGGCAATTCATTCATTCACATCCGTCTCACAGGCAATTCATTCACACATCCATCTCACAGTCTCACAGGCAATTCATTCACATCAGTCTCAGAGGCAATTTATTCATTCATCACATCCATCTCAACCATTCATTCACCACAACCGTCTCACACACATTCATTCACCACAACCGTCTCACACACATTCATTCATTCACCACACCCGTCTCACACACATTCATTCATTCACCACATCCATCTCACACACATTCATTCACCACATCTGTCTCACACATTCATTCATTCACCACATCCGTCTCACACACACATTCATTCTTCACCACACCCGTCTCACACACACATTCATTCACCACACCCGTCTCACACACATTCATTCATTCACCACATCCGTCTCACACACACATTCATTCACCACATCCGTCTCACACACATTCATTCACCACATCCGTCTCACACACACATTCATTCACCACATCCATCTCACACACACATTCATTCATTCACCACACCCGTCTCACACACATTCATTCACCACAACCGTCTCACACACATTCATTCACCACACCTGTCTCACACACATTCATTCATTCACCACACCCATCTCATACACATTCATTCACCACACCCGTCTCACACATTCCTTCACATCCGTCTCACACACACACATTCATTCACCACATCCGTCTCACACACATTCATTCACCACATCCATCTCACACATTCATTCATTCACCACATCCATCTCACACACACATTCATTCATTCACCACACCCGTCTCACACACATTCGTTCACCACATCCGTCTCACACGCATTCATGAGCCACGTTCCCATCTTTGCTGCGAGGCTGACGGCCAGCTGAGCTCTGGAGTCTGCCTGTCCGGTCACCACCGTGGGCACAGCCACCCAGGAACAGGCCTGGGGCTGACGCCAGGTCCCCGGGCTCCGGGCAGAGCTGAGGAAGGACACTGAAGGGTTCCCCAGAGAGCCCCCCGCGCCCCAGAAGCCTGTGGTGGGGTCCTGGCACCCCGCAGGGCCAGCCCCCGCCCGGGGTTCCATGGTTGGGGTGGGGCCTGACCTGCCATTCCCACAGCTGGTCCAGGACTCACAAAGCCCTTGGTTTGGAGGCCAGGGCGGGGCCGCCCGCAGCTCGAACTCCGGAGCACGAGGGGTTCCCAACCTGCCCCTCCTCCAGACGCCCACAGGAGCGCCCCCTCCGCACCCACCTTTCTCCTCGGGCCCCCAGGTCGCGTCCTCCACCAGGGCCGCCGCCTCCTGGCAGTCGCCCGGGCGCTGAGACTCCACCCAGGCCCGCAGCTGCGGGGGCAGCGCGCCCAGGAACTGCTCCAGCACCAGCGCCTCCAGCATCTGCTCCTTGGAGCGCGCCTCGGGCCGCAGCCACCGGCGGCACAGCTCGCGGAGCTGGGCCTGGGCCTCGCGGGGCCCCGCCGCCTCCTCAAAGCGGAAGCCCCGGAAGCGCTGTCGAGCGGCCTCGGGGTCGGGGTCGGTCTCGGGGTCAGCGGGACGGCCGCCCGGCGCTGGGGCGGGCTCCTCCGGGACCCTGGGGCTGGGGCCGTCGCCTCCGGCGTAGAGGGCCCAGATCCGGGCGTTGCGGGACCGCGCCGCCTCCTCGTTCAGCGAAAGCACCTCCACCACCTCGATCTCCGTCAGGGGCGCCCCGGCAGGGAGAGGGTCCGAGGGCGGGTCCGGTGGGCTCTCAGGCCTCCCTGCAGCGAGAAGCGGAGGGAGACGTGACCGAGACGCAGAGGAGCCCTCGGCGGGGCCCACGGGAGGCAGCCTTTCTCATCACCGACGTTTCTCTCTCCCCGTCTCTCTCCCTTCCTCTCTGAAACCCGTAACAAAGCACATGGAGATGTTCAACATCGCCCGGAGTCACTAAGACCGTGAACAGCGGGCACTGGGCCCGGCCACCGGGAGGAGGAAGCCCCCGCGGCGGCTGGTGGGCGCCCCCGGCCCTGCTGACGGAGCACCAGGCTTAGACCCGCACACCAATGCGCTAAAGACGTTATTCTAGAATCTAGAACGAACCACCCAGGACCCTGCGCCCACCCGGGGGACAGGGACCGCGGAGAGCCAGCAGCCGGAGGCCGAGGCCCTGCCGGCGACTCCTCGCCCGGAGCTGAGCACAGGCCCGGGCAGACCAGGGGCTGCCGGGGGCGGGTCTGGCGGGGGGGGGGGGGGTCATGGCTAACGGACACGGGGACTAACGGACACGGGGACTAACGGACATAACGGACACGGGGCTGAGCGGCTGCAGCGTTCGGACAGGTTAGGTTCCGGCTGGGACGGAGGCGGCCTCGGGCCTCCGGAGAGCCCCGTGCAGGCCGGGCTCGGGCGGCGCTCCGGGCTCGGGGCGGCAGAGGCGGCCGGAGCCCGGCGGAGCGGTACCTGCGGAGCCGGGGAGGTGAGCGCGGGGCCCGCCCTTCCTCCGCCCGCGGAGCCGTCCCTCCATCGGGAAGCAGCGTCCGGCCCCGCGGCGGCGGCGGCGGCACAGCGTTTCTTAAACTTTAAAACGGTTTGAGAGAGAAAGCGCAGCAGCTCGAGGCCCCGGGAGGCCTGGCTCCAGGTCCGACACCACGAAGACAGCCCGGAAAGAACCCGGGGGAGCCGCGGAGGGCAGGGGCACAGGAGCACCGGTCTGAGAAAGGGAGGCCGGACAGACAGGAGTGAGCCCGCCTGGGGGGGGGGAGGAGGCACTAGGAGCGGCTGCGGGTGGAGAGAAAAAGGGAAAAAGGAAACCGACGCGACATTCAGAGCGACGGCGCCACCGCAGCCGCCTTCAGCCCCCGTAGCGCTCAACCCAGCGGCGGCGGCTCGTCCCGCGGCCGGCGCCGGAGGAGGGAAAGGGGGGCGGGGACGCCGCACTTCCGGCCGACCCAGAGCGCGGCCACGCGCACTACAACTCCCAGGAGCCTCCGCGGCGCGGACTTCCGGCGCCGCCCTGTTGACTTGGCGCGGCCACGCCCCCGGACGGCGGTTCCGCCGCAGCCTGGCCGGTCTGGGGTCCCCCGACGCCGATGAGCCGTCGCCTTGTCGTCCGCGAGTCCGTCCCCCGCTCCCGCACCGCAGCCGGCCCTCCGGTTCCCACAGGCGTCACCCCGCCCCCCAGTCCCTGGAACCGGCTCCGCCGCGGTGCCCGGGCTCCCGGACCGCAGGGACCGCAGGCGCCGGCAGCCCTGAGCGGCCGCCCGGCCTGGGTTCAGGGGCACCCCCCACCCCCCTCTGGGAGGACAGGCGTCTGGCGGGTCCCACGGGCCCGCCTCTAACGCACCCCCGCAGATCCACCACCGGGCTCCCCACCAGGGCTTCAGGGTGCACCCCGCCCCACCCATACCCCCGGATTGGAAAGCGCAGTTTTTATTCTTTTTATTTATTAACGTTTCCCTCTGAGGGGACCGCGAGAAGCAGGGTGGCACCCTGATCTGGGCCCCAAGCGGACGTGGGCCGGCGCCTCCCTGGAGGCTGCAGGGCCAGACCCCGGAGCCCGGAAACAGCCCCCTCCCTCCCCTGCCCCCTCCCTCCTCCGTGCAGCCGCAGAGCTTTTAGCTTGTCTACGGACTGGGGTTGTGGCTGGGTGGTCCAGGGTTTTACTCGGCGCCTCTCTCTTCCTTAAAGACCTGCTGGTTCTTATCCTTTCCCCTCCCCCGGGTTCTGAGGGACTGGTTTCCCCTTATTGTTGGTCATGAATTTAGTTTCTGCTCTGATCCTTGGGGGCACCAGGGTGCTTTTCAAAATTGAGGGCTGGCTCAGAAATGAAAGCTCAGAACCTGAGTCCTGGGTCTGGGTGTCAGGACCTCAGCTGGTCCGTACGGTGCCAGCGCCCGGGGATCCGCAGGCCGCAGGGTTCTGCATGGTCGCCATCAAAATACCCCCCAGCAGTGAGCTCCAGCCTCACACCTCAAAATACCCCCAGCTGAACTGAACGTGACCCTAACCCAGGGACTCTCCCGCCAGCTGGCCTCCCACCGGGAACGGGAGAGCAGGCGGGAAGGGAAGCACACTGGTCCACAGATGCTGGCAGCACGGCATGTTATTCCCGTGGTCACTGCCGTGGCCAGCATTGAGTGTTGTGACACCCACCATCACTAGCCCAGGACAGAGGAAAAACTCTGGGTATGGTTTCTACTGCAAGCACACTGCCTTTCAATCTCCATAAAATTAAACACACACACACCAGGTCGCAGCGTGAACCACCTGTGCGGGAGTCCGGGCCATCAGGACAGGCCAAAGCAGCTGCCGCTTCCTCTCCCACCTCTGTCCTGGCCTCTCCCCCAGCGAAGCGGCTCCCTCACCACAGCTCCCTAGGACGCTGACAGCGAAACAGGTGCATCCCAACGGCACACAACCTGCTACCTAATCTGTGACAGCTGAGGCTGCCAACCGAGTTAGAGACCGGAAACCCTAAACCAGGCCCAGAGGAGGAGGGTCACCTTTCCATCAGCCAAAGTCCTGGAACCCACAACAGTGTGTCCAACCTTTACACAAAGGTCACGGGAGAGGCTGGGCCCCCGCCCAGGGCGACGCAGCAGGGGCACAAACTGCTCTTTCATGCCCTTTACACCAACGGGACTGACTCCTCACAGCCACCGCCTTTCCTCAGGTGTGCCCGTGTGACTCGTCCACGTCTTCACACCGCCACATCCCACCAGCTCAGCTTTCCAGAGCTCTCGTTCCAGCTCTCGTTCCAAACCACGCCCTCTACGCACCCTCCCCAGCAGGCCCCACTGCATCCTCTCAGAGCACAACTCGTCTCCAATCTCTGGTCCAGTGATCACGGTCACCTCTCCCCCTCTGGAGCAGCCTGCCCGGGACACTTGGCCGAAGGACAGGTCCTAGGTCTGCAGGGTCCCACCTCGCAGCACCAGCTGCACGGGACCGGGAACGTCTGAGGAAGCCAGTCCGCTAGCTCAGTCAGCTGCACGTGCTCCGGACTGAAAGGCCAATGAGCAGCGCCTCCCACCTGGTTCCTCGCTGTGCTCACACCTGCACAGCGGGAGGCACGCGGGCAGGTGCTCCAGCAGGATCTGCTGACTCCACAGGCGTCTGAGGGCTGTTAGCCTTCTGCCTGGATTTCCCGTTTCTGCCAATTCCAGAGGATCTCACTGGCACTGAAGTTGTGTCCTATGTAGAGATTATCCCGGGAGGACTGCTGTGGGGCCTGAGCCGGGGCTTGAAGCACAGCCTCAGAGTAAGAGGACACCTGGCTCGCACCCCCACCTGCTGCTTCCCGGACCAGCCAGGCCAGCAGCTGCCACTCCTGCTCCCACAGGTCAAGCGGCTGCAGCGGCATTTCCCTGGAGGCTGCAGGGCTTAAGTCCGAACTGTATACACTTCTAGCCTTTGTAGCCCTCAGAGGTTAATCCTTACACACAGTCAATTCTTCCACGTCCCTTTATTCAAATAAAGCCTGTCCATTCCTTAATTTATTTTTAGGTACAATTTCAAAAAAGTATTAACAAAACCTTTCTTCCATTTGTATTCAATTGGTTATTTCTGGTATAGGGCAAACTATTAATTTCTGTATTATTTTATAATTTGCTGTGTGTGTGAGAGTGTGTATAAATTGATTCCACAGAGGGATAGAAACATCAATGAGAATCGCTGATTAGCTGCCTTCTGCACGCCCCCCACTTCGGATTGAGCCTGCAACCTGGGCATGTGCCCTTGACCTGAATCCAACCAGGGATCTTTCAGTCAGCAGGATGCTCTACGCCTGAGCCACACCAGCAAGGGCATGGACGCCATCGTTTAACAGAAGCTGAGGGCAGTCTCTGCCCAGATCAGGTCTGAGATGGAAGGTCACCCCCATGCAGTTTCCTTCTTGAGCTGCGCTCACAACCTGTTTCCACATCCTGCCAGCCACAAGCAGCACACATCCATATTTGTTTTATGTGTACGTTTTTAAGGAAAAGGCATAGTGTGTGCATCCATGTATCTTTACATATGTAAGGTACATATGGTTAAAAGGTAATTTAAGAAACCACATGTATCTTGGAGATTTTTTCATCCAGTGCACAGAGCTGGCTCATCCTTTGTGACAGTTGTGCAAAGCAGTACGTGTGGTGCTGAGGGTATAGTCTTTCCCAGTATGGCCTCCCCCCCATGTAGCTTTTACCTTGACTCTGTTTGCTTAATCAAAGTTACCCCCAAAATGGGCTCTTGGATCATTTTTTCCTCTCCTCCATTTTGATTCATTTATTCCTGCTTCAATCTGATCATTTATCCTCTTTCCTTAGATCTTTTGGAGGTTACCCCCAAATGTTTGCTATGCTTAGTTCTTTGTTTCTCTTCATATCCAATTAACAGCTAAAGAATTACCCTGGGATTACATCTGGACATCCAGGAGAGCGGTCCCCAGGTAAAAGGATCAAGATTTCATGGATCTTAGAGGACACAGTGTCTTCAAATGGACTGCACGGTATGTGACCACACTCTTCCAGGCTGGGTTTCTATCTCCACGGGTGTGAGCGCTCAGAGTTCTTCACAGCATCATTTCATCTCAAGATTTCCTGTGTCACCCCTTTACCCACGCTCATCTCAAAGCCTGGCCTTGTCTTCCAAGTCTCCTCTCTCTAAGATGCCCTCTTGCAGCACTTATTCATCAAGTTTCCTGAGTCAGAGATTCAGTGACTGTCTTAGCAACTGGGGACACATCACAGATTGAAATAAAGATGCCTGTCCTCGCCCATGTCAGTTAATATTTGTC